TTTGGACACAAAGCCTTAATGCAGCGGTTGGCAAAGTTTCTGTGGCTTGGGCCGGTTCACGGTCCTGCAGACTCCACAGTGGGCCAGAGTACGTGTGCACGAATGCATGCGCAAATGCTATTTCCAGCGCTCCTTCTGGCGCAGAGGAGGCATGCGCAGCTTCTCATTGGCTGCAGGAGCTTCCTGCAGCCAATGGGAAGCCGGCCAGTATCGCCGAAGGCGGTCCCTGCTCTGCTCCGCAACGGTTATGCGCGGCGCACAGGAGCTGGCCTAGGGGGCAGTGGGGGTCCCCGAGGAGGCAGGGGTCCATGAGCTGATTAAATGACCCCCATGGGCTGCTTGTGGCCCATGGGCCTTAGGTTGCCAATCCCTGCTTTAACGTGTGGAGCTGTGCCTCAGTAAGTCCTGGGTGTACATTATTCTTCACTGTGGAATATATCATGCCAGAAACAACTTAATGCTCATTTTAGTTTCCCTTGCATTCATGATAAATTGACCATCTCAGAACAAGAACAAGGACAGGAAGCAGGGACCCAAATGTATTTTCACAGAGATAAGAAGGTGCTGTTGGAAAGGTACATTTTGAGATGAAAGGGCTGTTAAGGCAGCTTTCCAGAAAGCAAGGTCAGGCGCCAGTGGCAATAGAAATGATGAAAGCTCAGGGATTTTGATCAGGAAGTTCTCTTGACCATGTCAGTGGAGAATTTCTGTGCTGAACTGACAAGCAGATTTGCTCTGTGCAGCAGCCAGCTCAGTCCTCAGCAACCCTCTGGTACTTGGCAAAGGCTGAGGCAGATCCTTCCTTGCTCACCTTTGGAACCTTTTGCAACCAAGGGGATGCACAAAATGGTGGCAGAACCTGGCTGTCCTGGCAACGGCAGCCCCATTTGAAAGATCGGGGGAAGGAATGGTTTGTGTGAAACCCTCTTGTTTTTCTGCATGTACAAAATGGGAGTCAATAGGCTGCACCATAGATTCCTCCCCCCTCCAGTGCGCTAATATTCAATTTATACAGGGCTAGAGATGGTGGTGAAATTTGATTCAGTTCTCATTTAAAAGTCGATATATCCAATTCTCACTTTCCAAAACAACGTGGGAACCGAGACACAACAATCGATTGAAATTTGCACTTATCGAAATTTTTCAATACGGTGTTTACACAATGTTTTGTGTACTGTTTACGCAATGTTTACACAAATGCATATATTAGGGAGAAGCGTGCATAAAATGAATATATTAAGGAAAGTAATAGAATAGATTACTTGCAGAAACAAAACTGCATACAAAAATGCTTTTGTTCGGGGAAATTTGCACAAAAATGCTGATGAATTTTCATTAGCTTTTTTTTTTTTTAATGAGCAAATGTGTAGAATGGAATTTAAGTTGGGGAAAATGGGAAACTGAGATATCTGAAATTGCCAGATCCTTCATCCCTGTCTACTCTATGGAGGAGTATTCAAACATCCAGGCCTTTCTGCTGCACCAACCTGGAGCTGGCACAGCAAAAAGAGTAAGAGAAATCTCTTTCCACAAGTGTCAGCAATCAGCATAATATATTTAGTTTAAATTCATGCAATCCTAACTGAATCTCCTAAAGTAGGTAAAAAAAATGGATAAAAACATATAACCACATGCATAAAACATCCTGTTTTATAAGACTATTGTGGCTACTGCTTCAGTAGAGGGTCCCTGCGCTCTTTTATGTTTCAAGTAACACAACTTTGGGATGTAGAAATCAGCGTCTGCATGAAAGCTCTTCCCATTAAAACAAATCCTCCACACTGTATATCTTCATGTTTCTTTGCTCCCCTGAGGGCCCAGCTCTGCAGGTTGCAGAGCTTCTCTCTCTCCCCAACATGAAGAGACTTGAAGGTACTCAGCACCTGGAAGGATCAGCCCAGTACTCAAATCACTACTCAAACACAACTTCCTTTCTTCAGTCCTGTTGCTGTTTTATTAGAGAACTTCTTTTCGTAACAACAACAAACGTCTTCTAAAGGGGTTCATTTCTCTTTCTCTTTCTCTGGATTGTTTGAGGAGCATTAAGAGAGCTCTGCTGGATTTTCAGCCTCGGTTGGGACTCAAACTGCTCCTGTAAATGGGCTTCAAAAAGAATTTGCTGTATTGACAGTTACAGCAAACCCTTCTGAATTTTGATGGATGGGCAGCTCTGCCCACCTGTCAAAGTTAGCATGTGTGTGTGTGTGAGGAGGGGGGTGGGGTGGAAATAAGAAGGCAGGTCCCAGCTCCCAACTCCTGCTGCAAAGTGGTGGTGACAGATGCACATTTTTGAGACCATCACCCAGAAGGCCCCCTCTCAACACTCTTCCCCCCAAATTTGAAAACATCGGAACCGCCTGGAGGTCCTCTTCTACTGATCTTAATTCCTGGGCTGGTTTATAAGGAAGGAGATGCTCTTTCATTTATTTGGAGCCCATATTTTTTAAGGGCTTTCAATATCCACATGAGCACTTTGAATTAGGACTGGAAGCTTATAAGCAACCAATGCAGTTTCTTCAGTCCAGATGTCATATGCATTCTTGCATCCATCCTTGTCAAAATCTTGGCTACTGCATTCGGCAACAACAGCAGCTTCCAAACAGTTTCCAAGGGAAGCCCCATATAGAGGGCACGGCAGTAGCCTAAGATACAGGACAAAGCTCTACATTTTGGAAATCCCCCCAGGTGTCAATTCTGCCTTTGAAATTCCGGTAATGGATGTATGTCAGCTATAACATGAGATACAGGAGTAAAGTCATCTTTGCCCAAGAGGGTCTAGAATTGGTCTGGGACCTGGAAACAGGAACTCCTAAAAATGCATTATATTAGGGAAATGTCTCGTCAAAAATGTGTTTATTAGGCAAATTTGCATTAAAATGGTTTATCGGAAGATAGGCACACTAAAATGCTGGTGAATTTTTGTCAGGGGACTGTTTGTTTCTTAACTTGCAAACCGCTGCAGAGATGTGGCAAACTGAACAGAAGATCAGAAAAATGAGAAACTGAGAGTAACCAGAATTGACAGATCCAGCCATCTGTAGTCATCGCGTGCTTTTGATTTAACCAGGGTGTTAGGTGGGTGTGCAACCCAGATGTGCTAAGAGGCTTTCGCCAAATCTCTTCCGGCTTTATAAGACAAAAGTGACACCTTGAACTGTGCTCCGAGGCTTGTAAGGGGGCAATAAACTGTTTGCAACCATTAAAAATAAAGGACCCTGATGGGCAGGAAGTGGAATCTAAATTTATTTGCTACTTTAAAGGCAACATTTGATATTCCCTGAGACTACATAGATTAAACTAAAGATTTATGTTAATGCCAAGGATTAAAAGAATTTTAATAGTGTGCATAAAGATGTAAATGTGCTGTGTTTCATTTTCTTGCAGATGAATGTGCCATAAGGGAGCTGTAGATGGAAGAGAATGTATTCATATCCTGCAAATTGTAACATCTGGCTTAATTTTGCACTCATGTGTTCATTAAATATTAGTTGCCTTCCATTCGTGCATCCTTGAAATCACACTTTAATATGGAAAGATTTCCCTTCACCCTCTGTACTCCCAGAAGGCAACTGAAAACAGCTCCATAAAGCTATTTTTTACTAACCATATTTTTGTAAAATCCTATTTCTCTGTCTTCTCAAAAAAGAGTATCACAAAACCACCCATATTTTCCCCTTCTCATTCTGTATCTGTGTGATGCAGACACCTACACTCTTGTTGGAACCTCCCCCCCCCCCCCCCCACAATCCCATGTGCGAAAGCCCTGCCATTGGATGTAGAAATATACCAAAGGGGGAAATAATAGATAAAATTATAATGGGATGGAGACAATTAAGGGGTGTATATATAACCAAGTGCAAGCAGGGGTGGAATGATTTGAAAATGTCTGTATCAAACTTATCCACAGATCTTTTTTCTAATTTTTGTCTTGCTCCTTCATCTCAATGAAAAGTGAACAAATTGTTTTACTGGTTCCATTAAAGATATGAACAATGATCACTGGTTAAAAAACTGAGCCTGGATAGCTCATTTGGTTAGGCTGCGGTGCTGATAATACCAAGGTTGCAGGTTTGCTCCCCATATGGGACAGCTGCATATTCCTGCATTGCAGAGGGTTGGACTAGATGATCCTCAGTGTCCCTTCCAACTCTACAATTCTATAATTCTATATGCATTATTATACATATAATATGATATGTATATACACATTTTCTATAGCAACCGGCACATAAACATACTACTATATAAATATACTTATGTATGGATACTTATCAAATTATGCTGCAGATAATATAGCACCACATGGAATGTGACTCTTCCATATGTATATAATTTTCTGTATAATTTTGCATATAATTAGCCAGAGTTTTTTATATATAAAAAAAATGCACTTCACAACCCAACAATGCACTAGTGGCTTGGATATAGGTGAGTGCTTGATGCAAGAGGTGGTTGGGGGGACAAATCTTGATTGGATCAGAACCTCTAAATTCTGTGTGTAAACCCATTTAAATCCGATTTGTCTTTCTTCCCTAATTGTTAGCTATGTCCTATCTTACTTTCTTTTTTTTATGCTGCGAGTGTTCCATAGCTCTGCCTAGCATGTGCCATCAAGCTTTGCAGACTGAAGAATAAGTTGAAGGTGACAATTTTTCTTTATATTTATTAATTCCAAAATCATTTTTTAAAAACCCAAAACATGGATAGGAGTATTACTGCAAGGTTGATGATTCTTGAAAAACATAAGGGCACGTTGTGCTTCCAGAGTGTAGCAACGATTGTCCTGAACGTGGGAGTAAATTTAGGGTGGTTCTACATTAGAAACCTGTCTTGGTGTTATAACAGGTTAACTTCCCTGACTTCTGCCACAAAGAATCCTGGGAATTGTAGTCTGGGGTCCCTGCTGTCAACAGTCCCTATTTCCCACCCTCTCTGAACACATTTCCCAGGTTCCCCTGTGTGACCAGTGTAGGTACCTGTGGTGTAGATATGTCCTTAGCTTATTTGCCAATGGGTACAGTTTATTTGGAACTTATTTTACACAGACTTGCATATGGGGAACCACAACAGTAGCTCCCAGTGCCTCTGCCACTGTCAATACAGATCTTCAAAAGGCTTTGAGTAGTTAAACATCAGATAATCCATGTAATAGAAATCGTAGCTACGTTGCCTTTGAGAAGGGGAGAGCTGTTTGAAATATTGCTGTGTAATTTGGGTGGTTGTTCTCTCTTCATCAGAATGCCTGTCTTTAAACCTAGGAAAAGTCAAATTTTGTGGCGCATTTATTAAATGCAAAAAGAAGTTAGCATCTTCCTCCATGGTTTCAAATTTACCAATAAAATCATAGTCTATCAAGCACGGGCTACAGAGCCTGTTGACATGGTCCCAGTGAATATCCATGCCCACAGGCCGGTGGACATCAAGAAGATATTGAATGAACTCTTTAAAGGTTACCCCAGAACCTGTCCTCAGAGCCTCCTTCGTGGCATTGACGCGGTATCTTGAAATGATAGGTCTGCCAAAAACTGGGTGGTAGTAATTGTTGGGATGCTCAAACTTGTCTCGAAACGCCGAGACCAATTTTTCAAAAGGTTCACGGACAAAGAGCATCTTCGTGTAAGTGTTCAGCCTGTGGTTGATCCCTTTGCGATCAAACCCATCCAGCCTTTTCAGATAATTCCCATAATGCACCGTGTTGTGTTGTATGACCTTGGTCGAGGAGGCCAGTCCATTAAGGACCATGAGGACCCTTTTCCAGTTGGAGCAACCGGCCTTGGGAACTTCGCAGTATAAAATTCGGTACTTATCTTCAACGAAGATCCTGGAAACGTGATAAGGTGTGATGATCCTTTTGTTGTTGCTCTTGTATTTCGAGCAAGTCTCTCTCATGATCTGCTTTCGCTCTCTTTGGGTCTTGTAGAGGCTTTTCCACTTGACGTCATTCCTGTCCTCTGATTTCAAAATGGGCAGGTTGTGGAAGGAGCTGTTGACAGCTATCAGGATGGGGCTCTTCTTGATCACAAACCTCCTCCTCCGTTTATGAGTCCGGGCAGAATTAGCTCCTGCGCTTTTTTGGGAATGGTCTTTAATCACCACCAGGATGTTCTGCTTTCTGCTTGCGCCTTCTTCCAGGGCAGCTCCATTGGGCACGGGGTGTAGCGAAGCCTTCTGGTTCGCGATTGGGAATTTGTCAGCAGCGTACAGAGGCATTTTCCCGTCCTGATTGTTGCTGGATGTGCAGTCCTAATGGAAGAAAAGGCCCAAGAAATTACTAAATGAGAGAGCATTCATCACCACGGACAGCTTGCAGTGTTTAATGGCTCATGCTATTTGTACCGTTTTAGCTCAGCTTAACTATGGAAGGAAATGCATTGTCTTGCACGCAGCTTTGGCGCTGCAGTAATTATTTTTCACCTTTCTGCTTTTGAATGTATTCTTCTTAACTTGAGCATCACTTCTAGGGGCAAACCAGAAAGACTCAGCTAGGAAACAGCTTTGGGTTTTTGTTTTTTTTTAAATTGTTTCTTACTATGTTAGATTCTCCCCCTGGTTTTATACTATAAACTGCCCTGTGATCCTCAGATGAAGGGCAGTATAGAAATTCAATAAATAAGTACGTTTATGTGTGACCGCAAAATGTTTTCCTCTAGAGGGTACCACCTGCTCACAGTTGTATTCCAAGGTATGCTTTGACACTGATTCAGTGCTGAAGTGGAAATACCATACTTTTCCGTGTATATGATACCCCCATGTATAAGATGCCCCCTATTTTGAGGGACTAAGTTTAAAGAAAATGAGGGGAGATGGTCCAAAGTTGTTGAGCTTTTTTTAGGGGGAATTGCGTGGGCCTCGCACAGCTTCCTCCCTATAGCACTATCATGTATAGGATGACCCCAGTTTTTTGACATGATTTTTGAGTAAAAAAACCCTCGTCTAATACACAGAAAAATACGGTAAATACTAGCAGTGTAGAATCACTTTGTACTGGGGCTGAATGATGAGGTGAATGGGTAATTTCATTCCTATCTATGTCAAACAGCAATGTCAATGAAGCACTCTGAGTCAGATTAGCACCCCGCCCCCAAGCCTCCAACTCTGTTTTTCTATACTTTCTATTGTTTTGTACACTAGATTTCTATGTTTTTCTGTGTCTCTGTGTTTCTCTACTCTCGGTCCATGGGCTTTGTGAGAAGTGAGGCTGTCTAAATGCTCCTGGTGGACCATCAAGGAGCTCTTGGTAATTTAAAATTTTTACTTTGTTCAAGCTTAGTAGCAGCAGATTTTTTAAATACAAAAAATCAACTGGAAAGCTTCATTTAACTTGTAGATAAAAAAACAACAACACCCACTGCTCTGCTTACAAAAAAACCCCAAGCTCTTTTCTTCAGAGCGCTTTGGCACCCCACAGGCAGCATTCAGGACAGCCTCACCTTGAAGATGCAGTCTGGAGGACATCCCCTCCCAAACACAAGCAAGTACTAGGAAAGCTAAGCTGGGTGGTATGGTGTTCCTTCTATTTATTTCTAATTATAAGGTGAAATTGAGGTTTCCTGCTTGGATGAAGCACCTTCAGTAAGACTAGAGAAATCTCACCATGATGTGGTGGCTCTTACCCAGGCATAGGCAAAGTCGACCCTCCAGATGTTTTGGGACTACAACTCCCATCATCCCTAGCTAACAGGACCAGTGGTCAGGGATGATGGGAGTTGTAGTCCCAAAACATCTGGAGGGCCGAGTTTGCCTATGCCTGCTTTTACCAGATGTGCCTGCTGCCATTCATTCTGTTCAATAAGGAGGGCTGCACTCAACTCAGTGGAAAGTGACTTTGTGCATGGAGAATATACTTCTTGTGTAACAAAATGGGAAGCCTTTGCATATGTGGAGCTCTAGACCATGACTCGGATATTCAAGTGAGTTGCCCAGACACCTTCACTGTGGGATGAGGGTGAAAGCTGGTCCACTAGGCCGAACTATTGCCTTCTGAAATCCTAGACATGCCTACTAAGACCAGCTGAGTTCTATTGGGCTTACTCTCCTCAGCAATTTTGGAAGGAAAATTGAATAGCATTGCATACGAGAACTGTGCTTGTTCGTGTGCACAGTGAAGAGTTAGAAACTACTGCATGTGTTAAACCACTGTGCAGTTTTTACAGAGACAAGAAATTCAGATTTATTTGTCTCTTGATCATTCACGGAATCATATAATCGTCGAGTTGGAAGGGATCCCAAAGGACATCTAGTGCAACCCCCTGCAATGGAGGAACCACAATTAAATAATCCAAGACAAATGGTTTACAATTTTGACAGTAGGTTGAGCAGGGGAGTGTAAATGGATGGAGGACCTCTGCCCTCCTGCCCACCTTGCCAACAAGACCCAGCAGGGCTCTGAAAACAGGCTCAGCTCCCCTTGGTGGTTCTCCTTCCCCTTTAGGGTTGCTATTGCAGTGTGGTTTTCTTGTATTTTTGAAAGATTCTTTCCCCTTCAGTTGTATGGGCTCAGTTGTTTTATGGAACTTGAAGATTTGTGGGTATTTAATAAACGTGGACAACACAGCAGTAATGGGGTTATGTGTGTGTACAGCAGATGTCAGGTCGATGGCAGTCATAGTCAAAACATCTGGTGGTTGGCAAGGGTTGGGGCATAGGATTGCAGGCTTACATGTGCAGTCTGGTCCCTCTCCTGTGCCTCGTTTCATTTGATTTTTCTTGAATCGCTCACTCTGCCAGAGTTCCCATGCATTTCCAGTTTATTGCTCTAGAAAGATGTGAGCCATCTGTGCAGACGGGCTTTTAACCAAATTGACACCTACTGACACCATAAGCTGGTCATTATGCAGAGTTCAGGAGCATTCAGGTTTGCAATATATCATGACTCTGCTTATAAACCCACTGCTAGCATGTCATGATCAGCAGATATCTGCGACTGAATTTCTCCCTGTGCCGGTAAAATCTGCGCAACGCTCCCATAAATGTCAAAGGGGTTTTTACAGGACAGCTCATGCCGTTTCAAATAACTAAGAGCCACTAGATGGAGCAATCTCTCCAAGGTTTTTCATGCCGGCAATTCTAAAGGACTTAAAAGTGGATTTTTATTAGTTCAGTTTGATACATAATGTGGATATGCAAAATGTTCCCAGGCAAAGTGCATCAGATTTATCCATCCTAACAAGCTACCAACAAAGCTGCATTGCACTGGCCTAACAAATCGAGAGAATTTAATAAGAACATCTGTATTCTGGGGAATTGTGACGCCTCCTGCCTTCTTCAATCTCTCTTCCTCCAACCATTCTGTCGTCTCTAAGGCTATCGCGCACATCTCCCAACACCCTGTAATTCAGATATGATTCAGATTATGCAGCTTCCCTAAAAACCTTTCAAAAGAGGCAACTTACTTTTTTGGGTTGCTGTGATCCCGTGTGATATCTCAATCCTGAACAAAGAAAGAAAAGTATTATTACAAGCAGGAATCTGCAACAAAAAGTTTTCTCATGCCTAATCAGAGTGTGTGTGATCAGGATTCCAGATTGCCATTCCCTTACAGCAGGCGTATCCCTCTCTTCCTCCTGCAGCCCCACTTTTGATTTTATTTTTCAGCTGTCAGTCAACATTCTGTGGTTTCTGAGCATGATCAGTCCTGTATTAGGCTACCCCCTTTTAAAAAATATATTTTATAAAAAATATATTTTTGCACTTCCACAAACAGTGTGGGTTCCCTGAACACACTGGCACCTTCCTCTTGTTTCTCAGTCACCTCATTTTGCCTTTGATGAGAGTTTGCAATTAGAGGACACGATACACTCTGGAAGTGCCCATCCCATAACAGACCTATAGGGTGGGTAACTGACAGGTGAAAAAGAAACCGGAGGTACCAGCAATAACAAACACATCTAATTACAAAGAGACCCCAAGAAATGTACAACTTCTTTTTGCTGTGTCAGTGGGGTGTATCAATTCCTTCCCCTTCAAATTAAATTAAATTTTGAATTGTTGTTATTATTACTTTACAAATTTCCTATTTATTTATATGTGTACACACACACACACACACACACACACACCCCGCCCATCTGGCTGGGCTTCCCCAGCCACTCTGGGCGGCTTCCAACAAAAGATTAAAAATATATTAAAAAACGAGTCATTAAAAACTTCCCTAAATAGGCTGTGTGGACACCGTAACATGGCACTGAATCAAAACTCATTCACAATTACGTCTATTAACTATTCTTGAATCTATATTTACAGATTGCTCCCTCATATATAAGATCAAGGCAGTGTGCACGAAAATACGCAAGGGCAATGAAATAATAAAATATCATAAAAACAATACAAATTAATCAAACGACAACTGGTTCATCCTGAAAAGCACAAAAGAGGTTTCTAAGACACATCTAAAAATGAGCTTCAAGCATGTCTGCTGAATCTCTGCTGGAAGAGTATTCCACAGCATGGGATCAGTGACCAGTTGTTTAGTAGCCATTTCAGCCCTGCAGAGTCCCTTCAGGACAGGCACTGCCACCCCCCCTCATAGCCACAGCCCCTTTTAAGAGTATGCAATAATAATGATAATTAGGGATGCACTGAAACAATCAGTGCAGATCTCCATGTGCTGCCTTTCAGCTAGATCTACCATTTTCTGTGGAGGTACGTGGGGAAAGGTGCTCCAGTATTTTCCTTCGGAGTGACTTGTGTTTTCCTTGAAGTTGCATTGTAAGTAATACAACTTGTGTGCGCTATTTTTGAAATGGAAGCCTCTTTTCGTTTCCAGTGTTCCTAAATGCTTCGCTTTGGCGCATACAGAACAATTCCTCAGCGCCTTCTTCAGAGTGACCCTAGGAGCCAATTCTCAGTGGCCCAACTCGTCTCCTTTCACTCTGATTGGTTCCAATCAGTACAAAGGGTGAAAGACTTCTCAGTGGATTCTGCAGGTCCAGGCCCCTCCCCCTCCCCGCCCTCTGTTGCATCCATATTGCTGCCAGCCAGTGGTGGAGCTTCATGCTCCGGCACCAGGGGGCGGAGAGCAGGTGGGGCAGGGCTGGTGAGCGTCCCAGGGGCAGGGCACACTGCCCGCAGGAGTGTGGCCTGCATCCTGGGGGCATGGTGCGCCTCCTGCAGGGGCGTGGTGTGTGTCCTGGGGCTGTGGCATGTGTCCTGGGGGCGTGGCACGCTGCCTGCAGGGGCGTGGTGCCCAGTGCGGGCGGGGGTGTAGCCAAGATGACACCCCACTGGAATCACACTGCTGGGGGTGGCGTGTTCCCCCTGCACTCCTCTTCTTCCACCAGTGCTGCCAGCCCCCCCACTACTCTTAGCCCTGGGAGGAAAGCTTTTATTAGCACCAAAGGGAACCTTTTTTGGTGGTGGTGAGGGGGGATGATTAAAGGCACTGGGGGACCTCTTTCCTGCCCTGCATGGCATGCTGCACCAACTCCCGAGCCCCTTGTTTTGCAAGCACATTTCTCACCCAGCCTCTTGTCATTTTGCAGCTCTTTGCAAACAGCATTTCCATCCTACCTGCACCTAATTATCCCAGAGTCTGGATCATCATCCAGGGCCATTGAAAGACACAAACTGGCCTGTATATAAATGGGATAATATTGTGCCAACAAATGTCTATCACGCAGTGGCAGCATCACACAAGGCAACGCTCCTCCACTTCTTCGGCTTTGCTGGCTGCTAGTCTATTACAATGCAGGCACGGAGCGTGCTAACAAAGCCAAGATCCCTTATTTGCTGCTTGGAAGTGAATGCAGGAAGAGATAGAGAGAGATGGAGAGAATGTGTGCCTTAAATTGCTTGAGGATTATGCAATCTGGCTGGCTTCTTTATGCATCTCTCTGGTAAGGAAACGGCCACTTGTCACTGTCAGCGCTGCCTGAGCAAGCTTCAGTTTAATTAATGGGGCTTTGCAATCTCTAGACTTTTGACAAGGAGAACCGCGGGTCAACGCGCTGTTGCACAACAGCATGATAGCCTATTGATGGAAGAGCTAGGCTGCAGCTCAGTCCTATCAGACGTTTTTTAATTGGAGGCACTTTTCTTTGGTCTTGCTGCTGTGAGTGTGAAACCCGACCAGTGGCAGATCACACCTGTTACCCCTCCAAAGCCACATGAATCTGGATGACCCTAGGGTGTGGCTACAAATCGGGAGCTGCACCCAGTGTTGCATTCCATGAGATAGATACCCTCAGATGGTACCACGCTTCTTTCTGATCTTATTTCCACTTCTTGCACCCCTCCACAACCACAGAGTCTGGAATTAAGCATTGTGACACATATGCGGCTCCCACACAAAGCAGCAGGTCTGCCTTGTGCTTCGGGTGTCAGGTGATGCCGCCATGCTGAGAGCCCCCCTGGGAGGGAGGGACAAATCTGTCAATCTTCGTTTCTCTTGGTTTCTAATTTTTCGACTCTTTAAGTTCAGCCTGCCACGTTTCTGCATGAGTTTTTTTTTTGGGGGGGGGGTCCTCACAAAAAACCAGCAGCATTTTAGTGTGCAGAAGTTTCTGGGAGTCAGAAACTCTGGCTATCTACTGAAAAAGCACCAGCAGATATACTACTACTACTACTACTACTAATTTATTATTTATACCCTGCCCATCTGACTGGGTTTCCCCAGCCACTCTGGGAGGCTCCAAAACAGAATATTAAAAACACGATAAAACACCAAACATTAAAAACTTCCCTAAACAGGGCTGCCTTCAGATCACTGGTGGAGGAAGAGGAGTGCAGGGGGAGCGCACCGCCCCCGGCAGCGTGATCCCGGTAGGGTGCCATCGCGGCTGCCCCCCGCACGTGCTGGGTGCCATGCCCCTGCAAGCAGCATGCCCTGCCCCCAGGATGCGCGTCATGCCCCTGCAGGCGGTGCGCCCCACCCCCAGGACATGCGCCCCGCCCCTGGGACGCGTGCCAGCCCCACCCCCACCTGCTCTCTGCCCCCCAGTGGCAGAGCATGAAGCTCCACCACTGCTTCAGATGTCTTCTAAAAGTCAGGTAGTTGTTTATTTACTTGGCATCTGGTGGGAGGGTGTTCCACGGGGCAGGCGCCACTACTGAGAAGGCCCTCTGCCTGGTTCCCTGTAACCTCACTTCTTGCAGTGAGGGAGCTGTCAGAAGGCCCTCGGTGCTGGACCTCAGTGTCCGGGCAGAATGATGGGGGTGGAGACGCTCCTTCAGGTATACTGGCCAAGGCTGTTTAGGGCTTTAAAGGCCAGCACCAACACTTTGAATTGTGCTTGGAAACGTACTGGGAGCCAGTGTAGTAGATGGTACTCTACTTTTTGGCCACTCAGGTTTCTTGACAGCTTTGATCAATAACAGCCTTGTTTGGCATCAAGACAGCCACCCATTCTGAAGTGGATGGCATTCTGAGGCATTTGTTTTGAGGATGGGTGTCTCCATCCTTTACCATGGGTGCCTTCAATATGTTTATTCATTTGTTCCATTTCTAAAGTGCCATCTGTAAATCAGGTTCCTGGGGTACCTTATAATATTCCCATTTCAGCAATAATGATGCATATTAATAAAACAACCATTTAAATAATTGATACAAACACGGAATTTAAACAACCACCTTGTCAGAGCAAATGGGTAAGTTGCTTTGCAGCAGGTCTTTCCAGTTTTTATCAAAGATCTGGGCCAAAAAGTACATATTTCGGGCGATGATGGAACCCCCCAGAAATGAAGCCATCACCCATACTTCCAAGGGGAAGGAATTGCATTCATTGCATGCTGCTTCAGGAAGGCTAAGCCCATTGGTGTGACAATGAGATGGGCTTCCTTTACATGTCTCAGGAGATCCTTCCATCCCCAAGTCCCACAGTGGAGTCAGATTTATTTCCATCTTATTTTTATCTACCACAATCTCAAAGCATATTTCTTCCTCCAAAGAATCCCATTAATTTGTCCCTTACAGAGTACAATTCCCTGAACCATTAGCAAACTACAGTTCCCATCATTATTTAGGGGGGGGGAGTGATGTGCTCTAAATGTGCTTTAAATGTAGGCTGTGTATGCGGCCACCCTCACAAAAGAAAGGCTTAACAGAATTAAAGTAAAACAAGGTGACATCAATAGAAGTTAACTTAAACTCAAATAGATTGCATTTCCCCCCTAGTTCTGAATTTCTCTAGCATATCACAGCATGCCCCTTCGAAAAAAGAAAGGCTGGCTTCTTTTAACAAACAGTCCCGCAGCAGGAAGGAAACTGTACTTGGTTGCTTAAAGGGGAAAAAAAGCATTGTGGTTTGGGTTTTTGTTTTTTTTAAATAACAATACCCTGAAGCTTTAAAAACGTTGGAGGCCAGCATGATGCCACTGCCCCGTTCCAGGTTTGGGGAATGTTTGAAGACTGTGGAAAGGTGGGAATGGTTTGGATAAGGTTGTAGTTATCATGTGAGGTAAGGCATGGAGCAGGGGTGTGGCATATCAGTCTTC